TAGTTCCTCAATTATCACTATTAATAACTTATCATTATTCCTATTTCCTCACCATAGACAAGGTGATATGACACTTCTCTTTACCAAATATCTTATTTATTTATTTTTTGATAAATTTCACTATATTTTAATTTATTATTATTATTTTAAAAAGTGTAAATTACTACTCTCTTCATTCATTTATATTATTTATTGTAAAAACTTAAATGTGTCAAAATTTATTATTCCACTTATTCTTATTCTTTGTTGTAAATTTAAAGACCTAAATAATTATCACCCCAACCTTTCATTTCTCCATAAAAAATGAAAAATCTATATATATCTATATATAATATAAAACAAGATATTAAAAAGTGATTTGATACCGCTCTTTGGCCAAGGATCCTATTTATTTTATTTTTTCTCATTTTTGTTGTTGTTGTGATTTCCACAATATTTCTATTTATTGTTACTATTAAAAAATGTGTAAATTACTACTCCCTTCATTAATTTCTATTATTTATTGTAAGAATTTAAATATCTCAAACTTTACTGCTCTACTTATTTCTATTATTTATTGTAAATTTAAAGACATAAATATTTATCACTCAAATATTTCATTTTCTCCCAAAAGAATGAAAATTTATTAAATTAGAGTAGTCTAATGAAATATCTTTTCAAATAGCTTGAAAAAAAACCCCATCCCCTTAACTCTCTTAATTATGAGATTTCTCTTTTTATCTTAATTTTAAAAAATGTAAAAAATATTTACATAATTAGTCAATTAAAAAATAAGATAATTACTAACTAAATATTTTTTTTAAAAAAAGAGAAGTTGTAAATCTCCAAAAAGAATTCTCAACATTCATTTATATTTATTACATTTCATTATGAACCATGATTAAAGTTAGAATTAAGAAAATATTGCACTAGGGGAAAAAAACATTTTTTTTCAACTCTTTTTCCCTATTTTTCCTTTTTATTTTATTTAATTTATAAGAATAAAAGTCACAATTATTATCATTTATTATCCTAACTTTTCATATTCTTTACTAAAAATAAAAACTGATCTACCTATTGATTTATGAGATCATTGGTATTCACTTTTAACTTCTTCATATTTATGTAGTGTTTGGATTACAAAATTTATTTAGTTTCTATATAAAATTGATATTTTAGCTCTCTTGTGTATTTATTATTTTTAATGCAATTTTTGTTTTTACAAAATGTTAATTAATTAGTAGATGTGTGAATTGAATATAACTTCTACTTCCTTTCTTGAATTTAGAATTACACTTTCTATTCTTTTCATATGAAAGTTTTGTGTGGATATATAAATAGTTTAGGCTATTGATTTTATTAATTGCACTAATTGGTATGCTCATATTTAAAGTAATAATTGTGAAAAAGTTAAATTACATGAAATCTAAATTTAAATGGTTAAATAAATTTATAAGCATAAATAGTATTATATAAAGAAAGTTATTAGTAAAATCGCATAAATAATTTAAAACACCAATAAATGAGATACCGACATATTTAAAATTGGCACATAAAAATATGTCTTTGTATTGCTCAAGACAAAATTATAATTCTCTTTTTTTTCATGAAACTAATTTAATTTTATTGTTTTTGTTATTTTATATATATATAGATTTTGGTATGAAAATTTCTTAATTTCCTTTACATCAACCAAGTATAGAAAAATATGACCGCGCGAAGCGCGATTTGGTTAACTAGTTTCTAAATATCCAACAATGAAAAAGAGTGGGGGATAAGTTAGGTCAAATCCTAAGAGCAAAGATTAGTGGCGAAATAAAAAAAATTGTTACGTTTAAATTTAATATAAATTTATAATTAAATATGATTTTTTGACTTTTATATACATTATAATTTTCTATACGTGCAGTATAATTTTTGAAAAACGGTATACAACTAACCACCCTTCATTCTACCTAGCTACAACACTGTCTAAGATCAAAGGCATAACAAATTTCAGTGTTTCAAATGAGGCATATATGTATTCTCAACCTCATATCTGATATTTCTACGGAGAATATGAGTATTATTGCATTTACTATACTTTTCGATAGTGTTTAAGGGGTGCGGTTATAACAACCTTTAAAAACAACAAATTTTGAACAAAAACAGTTATTAAATATGTAGCTGTTACTATTGAAATTATACCAAAAAACAAATATATATAACACTCTAAAAACAAATAAAATATCGACAATGAATACGATTAAAATTCCATTTTTGTAAAAAATATTTGAGAAATATAAAAGTTGTGCAGAAAATGCGAGGATAAGAAAACTAGGTGTGTACATCCTCATATTTACATATATTTTAAAAGTATTTATTAGATATTAGAAAAGGCTGATCATTTCATGGATTTAGTAAGATTATTTTCATAATCTTTTCACCTCCTAACTTTAACTGTAATCTAAATAGTTATAAAATGATCATATTCATATCCACTTACGACGGGGTAAAGACTGTCAGCTTTTTTTGCAACAACAAATTTGATTGCTGGAAATATTTCAGATAGCTTCACACTGTACTTTTCAGGATCACCAACAGTATCCACATAGACCTGAAAGGGATTCATTAATGCATTGCTTCTGAAAATGTCTAAAATAACTAGTGGAATAAATTATATAATTGATCTGTACTCCCTTCGTCCCAATTTAATTGATCTGTACTCCATCTGTCCCAATTTATGTGACTTACTTTCCTTTTTGTTTTGTCCCAAAAAGAATGACACGTTTCTATATTAAGTAACAATTTAACTATAAAATGTTTATTTTACCCTTAATGAAATGATTTACAGCCAGACAAATTTCTATCATTCATTCCGGACCACATTTTAAAAGTATTCCTTTCTTTTTAAACTTCGTGCCGAGTCAAACTATCTCACATAAAATGGGACAGAGGATAGTTATTAAGAAATATGTAAGGGTGTATTGATCTATTGCAATTATTGACATTTCAATATAGCTAATTTATTTTATAACGTTTACCCATAATTTGAAATCTAAACGTATGCCTCCATATTTATATGAGGTTTATCCAGCTTCAATTACCTTTTTCTAATTCCTATAACTTTCTATTATCATCACACTAAAAAGAGAAGAATTTAAAAGGTTGCATTCAATGTTTTATTTAATAGCATTAAGATGAGACAAAACGAGATCATTGATTGGTGAAGATGAGAGCATAAGGACTCAAGGAATCAACGTTTTTCATTATGTTAGGTAACATAGTACAAAATTTTAGCATCATCATAAAATCTTTGTGTATATACGTTGTTGTAAAATAGCTGATAAGTCTCAAGAGATCTTGAAATAGTTGAGTTATAACCAATTGTGTATCTATGAGGTAATCATTGATAGACTAAATGGACTCTATAACTTAGTTTTTTACTCTTTTTGTATGTTTTGAGTTTTAGTTCATACCAGAATATATTATACCAAATTTATCATTTACAATGTTAGATAAATTTTATGGGATAAACGTGTGAAACACGTTTTCAGAACTAGTATAACATAATCATAGGTGGAGATATTTAAGGAATTTTTCTGATTAATTTTCATTATATAGATTTCTTTATATACCTACAAATAACTTTTATTCTTAAAATAATACTACAAGGAAATGGATCCATTGGCTATGTATTGTACATGGTATCAAAGCTAGGTCGGTTCACACACTACAAGAAATGTGTTTTTTAGTGACAACGTTTTGTAGCGACATACATAGTTGCCACAAAATGTATGGTTTTTGTGGCGACACAAGATGGTTGCCACAAAACATGATAGTTTTAGTGGCGAAATATATTATCGCCACTAAAAAGTATCATTTAGTGGCGACTTTCCTTAGACCGCCACAATATGTGTCTACAAAAATATGATTGAAAAAGTATTTGGTGCGACTAAAAAGCAGTCGCCACAAAAACATTATTGTGGCGACAAGGTTGCCACTAAAACAAGATCTTTTGTGGCAACTTTCAAGTTGTCCCTAATTCTTTTGTTTTGATATTTTTTTAAAATTATTTTGTGTGTGAATTCAAACTTTAGTTAATTATTATAATGATGTATATGTATATTTTGTATTTATATTATTGTTAAATTTTTAAATTAAATTTATACTTTAAATTACTTATTTAAACCAGTAATCATGTAGTGAAAAGTATGATGATTATATATAGTCATTTAAATAAGTATTTTGAGTAATTTTATATATCTAATTATACTGATAATAAATAAGTACTTATTTATTGATGTTTTTTGTGCACTACAAAAATAATTAATTTTAAAGATATTTTATTATTTTGTCATTTAGAGCGAATATACCTTGATATATATTATGTATATATATTATATAGTTTGTGAGTATTAGTTTGGTCTATATAAATTAATCATAATTTTTATGTATATTTATTGGTTTGGAAAACAATTTATGTCAAAAACTAATGTTTAGTTAAGTATGCATTTCATTTTGTTAGATTAAAGTCATTTACAGTTTATTCACCAAAATTAGTCTATTATTTCAAATAAATATCTTACTATGTTACTCTGTGTAATTTATATCAAATGAATTATTGGGGCATAACATAACGATTATGAAAATATTTTAGGATGTAAATTAAAGACTACTTTCAACTACTATCCTTTTGATTAATTTCAAATTAGTCTCTTAAAAAATATGAAGTAGTTAAGAACCTCAGTAAATGAATGATAAATAACAAAAAAAATTCCAACAATTTTCTTAAACATTGAAAAATAAATCAAAAATTCACTTATTTTAAATTATGAAAAATTCTCTATAATTCACTTAATATGAAAACAAATACTTAATAATTAGAAACCTTAATTGATTTTTTAATTATTGACTCTTCTTGATTTTTAATTCAATCCAATTTTTATTTGGCTACATTTTTTATATCTGGGTTAGATTTGTATTGGAATATGCTACAACATATTTTAATCTCATTTACGGCCAATATTTACTCGAGTTTCTCTTTTAATAAAATAATCCCAAAACCCCAATTCCCCTACTCATATTTTCTTCCCAACACAGCCGCATAAAAACGAGCCCTAGCTCGACGATGATTGATGAGGCTTCGTTAGAAGAGATTGATCGACGAATCCTTAGCTATCATTCGCTCCAACAAGGGTTCAATTCTAATGGTAAACTCCTAACCTCACCGTTTTTAGATTCCAGATATTTTCATATAATACGAATTTCTAGCCCTTCCTCCGTCCTACTTTGGTTCACAATCTGAGTTTCTAGCACTACCTTTGTTTAGTTTCTTAATTTTGTTATAGATATAAAAGTAATGTTTGTTCTTTGGCATTGATTTTTCTTTTGTTAGTCTTTAGCGTTTTTAGTCTTGTTTCCATTAGCAATAATTCTCTTTTTTTTAAAAATTTTTTTTTTTAGTAAATCCTCACTCTTTTAGCTTTCTTTTTATAATTTTTATATATTATGGAGTAAAATGTCTGTAGATTCTTTATGTATCTAATGTACAGTTATAAACTAAATGCCTATTTGTTTTCTTTGTTTAATTTCAGCATGTCGTTTTTGATAAGCATCACTCCCTTTCCCCTTTGTGGCTTACTTTGAATCTAGTGGCTTTAATCCCTTCGTGCCTGCTCGTATCTAGATTCTTAGATTTATTTTATTTCGAAGGGATGAAGTGTTTGGTAGCAAGGTCTGTTTGTATGCTACATACTCTGCTCAGTCTTCTTCCTTAGTCTTATTTGAGAAATTATGTGGTCACATGTTAAGCCGAGTGTGCAATTTTATTTTATTTTTATCAGTGTGATTGCTTGTTTACAATCAGGATCTAAATTGGTTTCCATCCTTCCAAATTTATAACCTAATTCATCAGGGTGCCTTATCTTCAACCATGATTCCCTGCATCCCTTCTTAGGTTTTCATATTATAGAAGTTTCTGCTCGCCGTTATTGGCATACTTGCTCTTTGTAAAGTGAAAACATACAGCCAGCTAGCGACACCACTTACATACTATCTCTTATGTCTCATCTTCTCCGTTTGCAGTCATCAAACATTATTATACCAACAATCTTCAACAACTAAACATGAGCATAATAAGACATTGGGGAATGGAAGTGCAAGAGTCTTGGTACAATATAAGGGAATGCAAGTCCAAGAGTTGTCTGGTAATTGCATTTTCTCCCTATTCTCAATGACTTGGGTAATATCTCTATTCTATTGTTATGTTTGTCTTGTTCTAGCTAGCTACGAAAATGTACCATGTTTTATGTCAGGGATTATGTGAAGAAGAGATGATTCATTAGTCTTTAAAATAATTAAGGATAATGCTGATTTCGAGCAAATTAAGAAGTCCTGTTAAATTAGATATCTCTATGACAACAAATTAATGCAAGACGTTTGGAAAAAGCTCGTTGTCCTCTCAGTAAATTTTTCATGCCTAGTTTTATTTCCAGTTGTGGTGCACACTGCCTTGTTGATATTCTTTTAAAACAGAAACAGATATATTTTTAAAAAAAAAACAGTTGGTGATATTCTTTTGCTACTAAGTGAAAACACCAAGATATTGTATAGGAAGGTTGCCTCTAGAGAAACCTAAAATAGACAAGATTTGTTGTTGCACATCATCAGATAATGTGATCCGTATAGCATTTTCGTGTGAGTTTTTTCATTGCCCCTTTTCCTTTACTACCTCCTTGGTTTGACTGAGTCATATCCTTTCGAGATTAATTTTTTCACATCATCAGATAATGTGATATGTATAGTATCTCTTGCACATCATGAGATGATGCAATCTGTAATCATTGTTGGCATATTTGTTTGACTTTTTTGAGCTAGTTTTATTTTAGGTGGTATTTTTATTTAATATGGCTTCGAGGAGCTATATTAATAGCAATAAGAAGTGGAGTTAGGAGTAAAGATAGTTTTTGAGGAGTAATATATGTCATATTGTTTGTGATATTGGTAACCTTATGTTGTTCCGTCATTGAAAGAATGCCATCACTCTTTTAACTAACATGAGATACTTCCTAGTTGTCTCGCCATTCATGATATGAGAAACACTATTTGTGCAGATTAAGATGGAATTTGGTAATGCACTTCAGCTTATTGGTGTTACTATGGTTGGCATTGTTGGGTACTCTATGGTTGGCAGAATGTCATCGGTACATTCATCTCAAAATTTTTTTTGACTTGCAACAATGACTTTAAAATATCGAATATAATCATTTTCTATAGTGCATTATAACATTTAGTAATTGAATATTTTTCATAAAAAAAGCATGTAAACATCTTGCGCATACCAAGCTTGTATATCATTTTTTAGAGAGTTAACCTTCTTCCAATACCATCTTGAATCTAATGGAGGAGTGTGGTCTCATATATTCAAGTTATTTTTCATATATACTCCATGAACCCATTTCACCCAAAGAATATCCCAATTGTCATCTTAATGTACTGATCTGTCGCATCTAGATAGTTCATCTTAATATAACATTCAACAACAACAAGTAGTGCTTGCCTAATGTTGTCAGGACGAAGCTAGATACACAACAAGCACATTATGATAAAATAATCTTCTCAAGCTGAAGAAGTAATTAATAAGAATCTTAAATGGGAGAACAAAAGAAATTGCCTTAGTTATTGTGTTAATCTGCTACTTTTAGTGGTTTAGGAATAAGAGAATACTTTATATTAGCACTTCCTTACTTACATGATCTATTATTCCCACATACTATACAAATAAAAAGTTACATCACATGAATTTTTAATATTATTTTGAACTATATATGGTTGCTTGTTCTTTTTCATATGCATTGAGGAAGTTTGTTCTTGTTTTCAATTTCCTCTGTCAATGGGTTTAGCATACATACTACATATGCCATGAAGCTTGATTTTTACCCCCCACTAATAGTTAAGACTTCAACCTTTTGCCGAGTTCTTGGTCTAGCTATATCTTTTTGACATGATTGATGCAACATCTCAGTTGCAAGGCTATTTGAATTCTGAATATGCACTTTTTATTTGTTGATATCATTATGATGATTTTTTAAGTAATTCAATGTATTTTAGTAGCAGGGACAACAAGGTTCTTAAGAAATGAGATCGGTCAAGAAGGAGCTTGAGGCATGCCATGAAAGTTTTTTGATTGTATATATATTAGTACAATGCCACTGAAGTATTATGTCGTAAATATGTCATTGACATTTTAGTAGTGGAAGTATTTATAATATTTGGTCGGAGAATGATTTTATAGTTTAAATACTATTTGATGTTTTTAAAGTTATATATTATAAATTTTATAGAATTTGATTGCATTTAAATTTACTATCATTGTTCTCATCATTTATAGCGGTTGAATACACACAATATAATGCTGGGCAAAAAAAACAAAATTTGATTTATTTACTAAATTTAAATTTAATTCAAAGCTGAAATGATACCTGCTACTTTGTAGCGACAATTGTCGTTGTTAAAGTTGTTCTTTAGGAGCGAGTTGAATGTTGCCACATATGGTATTGTAGTTTTTGTGGCGACTTGTGTCGCTGCCAAAAGTACTTTTTAAGCAACAAGATAAATGTCGCCACTGATAGATAGTACATGTATTGTAGCGACAAGAATCGCTACTCATACGTTTTAGCAACAATATAAAACTTGCCACTATTTAGATATGGCTTTTGCGGCGACTATGTCGCCACTTAAACCGTTATTTTAGTGGCGACCTAACTAAAATGTTTGTTGTAAAATTATTATTTGTGGCATAATTGTTCACCTTTAGCGGCAACAAATGTCGTCACAAAAACCTTTTATTGTGGCGACTCCATGTTGTCGTCACAAATAACCTTTAGTTATGGAACTACTAGCTACGGCACAATTGTCGCTGCTATATGTGTTTAGTGGCGACTTTTGGGGTATTTGCGGCGACATCTATCGCCACAAAAACACAGAATTCTTGTAGTGACATTTAGGCTCCCGATCCACTCTCTAGTTGGACCTGAGCATAAAGGGGTGTTAGAGTGGCTAAAATCCAACATTAGTTGGAAATGAACTGGTGGTTTGTTTATATGGACTTGGACAATCCTCCCCCCATTAGCTAGCTTTTGGGCTAAGTTAGACCTATGTGTCCTATCTTTACACTTGTATTAGTCGGCGAGGATCAATTTTTATATTAGAAAATGTAAAACCTCGGATGTTTACAATTGTTTTTTTTTATTTCAAGGACTTACAAGCCTAAATTTGAATGTTTTATATTAATACTGCTCACGTTTGGGAACGTCGATTTCAATAAAAAATTGATATAATTATATTTTTGTCTCTTTTTTAAAATGTCTTATATTTTTATGAAAAAATTATTTAATTACGATATATGTGTTTATATTTGTTTTTTATAAGAGTTTATAGTTTATTAATATTTCAATGGAGATAAAGAGACTAGTAATATTGAAGAATTATTATTATATGAAGTAGGCTTTATTCGAAATAATTTTCTACTAATTATGGTATATTCAAAAAGTAATTCATATTTTACCACAAATCTACGCAATACCCATACATATACATATACATACACACACAATTATATATATATATATATATATACTATTCCGGAAATGTCAACTCCATTTCCACGTGAAAGTAGATGGAGTGGACTGTCACGATTCGAGCCTACACCCTGGACGTGTGCGGCACTCAAGAACCATTGTTTCTCCCCAAGCGAACCCTCATCCTGGCTAACTACAATCGGAAGACTAACTTGAGCATACATAAGCATCAAATTGAAAGAAACATTTAAAAATGGTTTACTGAATCTCAAAACTTCGCTCAATATACTGAGTATGAAACATAAGTTTTAAATAAAATATCTAAAACTAAAAGACTCTCAAAAACAGTCTGTCTATGAAGCCTCTACTATTAAGGAAGGATGTCGGGACAAGATCCACGACACCTCAAAACTACTAACTAGAAAGTAACTGTGAAGTCCTCTGGAATACAAAGAGGCTCACCAAAGCTAAAAGGAGTGTAGAGTGATCTCAACGAAGCGCTTGTTGATAATCATGAACACCTATAGCTACATCATAAAAGGATGCAGGTCTAATGACATCAGTACATGTAATGTACAAGTATGTAATATGGCTGAGTAAACAAATAAATGAATTGAATGACTAAAAGAAACTCAACTGAATCAATACATGAACTGAAAACCATTTAAGCTTTACAATAAAATATACAATGAAAGCAACATGAAAATAATATACTTTACTTGTGGGAAGTTTCTCTAACCGGCAACCATTACTATGAGCCTAGAAATGATACAACGTCCAGCCATACGTTGCAAGGGCCCATCCTATACCTTGTTGGGGGTATAGGATGATATCGTGACTATGAATCCAACTATATGCCTTCTCAGAGGCGGTGAGGAGTCGCATGAAGAATCAATGCTATCCTATCCTACACTGGCTACGTAGTTTTATGGTACTTCTGAGTTATAAAAGACTCTAACCCAACTCGGTGCTCGATAATTCTCCCAAAATAATTAATATAACTTTGTGCTAAATTCACTCATTACAAAGAATGGACTTCTTACATTAATTGAAATACTTTTCAAAAC